TATGACCTGCTTTACTCTTGGGGTTTCAATTTACTCGGTATGTAAAAGAATGTGCAAAGGTATGCGTACAACATGATTTAATGATTACCTCATTTCAATAATAAATATGTAAATTGTAAGTGAACTGGATAATTATTACGTATGAAGTGAGATACTATCTTGGTGTAGGTGACACATCCTTATGATACAATATCCGTAATATACTGCAAGGTAGGTGTGATAGTGAGATAGAGAAGGTGTGGACATTAACAAAAACGTGACTGTAACGTAACCAAGCCACAGTTACACCACGCCACAGTTACACCACGCCACTGTTACACCAAGCCACAGTTACACCACGCCACTGTTACACCACGCCACTGTTACACCAAGCCACAGTTACACCACGCCACTGTTACACCACGCCACTGTTACACCACGCCACTGTTACACCACGCCACTGTTACACCAAGCCACAGTTACACCACACCACTGTTACACCACGCCACTGTTACACCACGCCACTGTTACACCACGCCACTGTTACACCACGCCACAGTTACACCACGCCACTGTTACACCACGCCACTGTTACACCACGCCACTGTTACACCACGCCACTGTTACACCACGCCACTGTTACACCACGCCACTGTTACACCACGCCACTGTTACACCACGCCACTGTTACACCACGCCACTGTTACACCACGCCACTGTTACACCAAGCCACAGTTACACCACGCCACTGTTACACCAAGCCACTGTTACACCACGCCACTGTTACACCACGCCACAGTTACACCACGCCACTGTTACACCACGCCACTGTTACACCACGCCACTGTTACACCACGCCACAGTTACACCAGTACAGCAGATTCTCATTACAAAACCGAGTTCAGTGGATTTCTGTACAAGCTGACTAACGTGTCTGCTAGAGAGTAGACACTGTCTGGATAGAAATTGAGCTAGTGTAGTTGGTAATGAAGTAGATTGGTGATTTAAACCACCCCTCTAGATTCTAGATTCTAGATTCTAGATATTATAAATTTCCACATTTAAACTGTTTCCTTTTGTTTACTCCTAACTTTACACCCTTAACAATAAGATACTTATAGACTGTAGCTGTGGTGGGAGATGTAAATAATAAAACCAGATAATTAGTACGCGTGTGACACCACTCTGACTCACTAATAATAATAAAGTCTAGTAACAAACATGTCTCTCTGGCTGTCATTATCCAGCCGTATTGAACGGGCTTTAAAATCTCACATATTTTCCTAAGCGACAGGTATTCTAAGAGGAACATCCAATTAAGTGCTGCATGTAACCCACACTCTGAAAATATGCAAACTCACCTACACAATAACAGGATAAATATAATAAACGGTAGGATATCAACTTCCTCCTCTCCCTCCTTCTCTCGCCCTATCTCTCTCTCTCGACTCTCACTAAGCTACACATTACATCATCATTATAATACAAGGTGAGCTGCACAAGGAGCACAGTGACTAATGGCTACTATACACACCTTATTATATACATAGAGCGTGTAGAAGTAGGATAATACAGGGCCCACATTCCAGCACAATTATACTCACACAGTACTATAATACACAGGTTACTCAGCCTAATCGGGCGTGTACTGTTCTGGTTATAGTCCGATTAAGTTAAATTAGCGTCTGAAGATAGTAGATACATATCTGCCCTATTTGAGAGCCTTTTTACACGTTTTAGTATAATACGGTTATACGTTTGAGTACCCTTTACGTTTAGCTATATACCGATATAATATGACCATGACTAAGACGTATACATTATATTAGTACAATGGTGTGAGATTGAAGGAGGAGGGTAATGAGGAGCACCGCGAACTGGTTATAGTGAGGAATCACTATAAATAGTTCACTGAGAAGAAGGGTCTGGTTTATTGTCCTGGTAATGGGGCAGAACCAATTAGCTGTCGAGTTTTAACACAATAGGCGCGCTATCTTATAAATATTTATATTCAGATGACAGAATGTGGGATTAGTCTTGGGAAACAGTCCCCTGGTCCCCAGTACCCCGCACCGTGTGTGTAGTACACACTGTGTACAAATCTGCTGCCTGGGGACCCACGTGATCATAGTACAACCTTAGTGCTTAGAGTTCACAGTTTGGTTTGATGCCATTCCAAATTAGAGGATTTTAGGGAATTCCCAACATTTTCGAACCTTAAACAGTTAACAAAGATTAATTGAGGATGACACTGTGTAAATCTATTCTTGAAATTTGGAAAGTTTTTGACAAAATCTCTCAAGATACGACAGCATATGTCACTTAAATGTCATAATTTAAAAGGAAAGTATAGGGTATTTAATATTCATAGGACACTCATATCAATAATAGATATTGTCATTGACAATATAAAATGCTGACGTCAGAGCATCTCTCCAAACTAAATACCCCATTTTCAAACAAGATATAACTAATTATTCAACGTCAAATGTGTCTCTTAACTAATTTTGGCCCGAGCTGAGTATTTAAAAATGGATTTATAAGGCTTAAGTAGTTTTTTTCCCCTACTCGGTCACGTTCGAATGACTTGAATATTATATCCTTTTAGGGTATTCATTGTCAAAACGTGTTTAAATATACAAATATTGGATTTTATCTATTTTAAATTCATTTACGTATGGTACCATGAATTTTATAATCGATTTTATCAACAAAGCAGATCCCAGGTAAACATTAAATGATGAACTGATCTCCCTACTTCTCGCGAACTCATAGATTTAATATAATTCACCGTAAATTGGATTATATATTGTGTTTACGTGTCACGTGCGCTAACACGTGCACTGTACGTGCACTGTTAGTGTAAAGTGGGCCCTGGATTGCACGAACCACGGGCCTGTGTCAATTATAAACTAGACAATTCATTATAGAATATACATACAGATACACTGAGGTCTGAGGTACACTGTGAACTCGCTACTCAACTCAAGTTGAGTAATGTTTGGTTATTACAAATTAAGGACGGAACAATTGAAATGTCAATGAAGATCATATTATGTGAGGTTTCGTTAGACACATTAGGATCAAAACATTATTGATTTCCAAAGAAACCCTGCAAATTCCATAGAACTGTAATTTTGAGTAATCAGATATTTAACAAATGCTAAAAGCTAGTATTGATTACAAGAGTTGATTATCAATCCAAATAACACTTAATAACTCTCAACGCCACTCTTAAATACTCTCTACACCCTCCCTGTACACAGTACACTCCGCCACAGAGTCAGGGTTACAATAACATAAACCCGCCACGCAAAGGGATTATATAACAGATCATCCCGCGCTAGCGGGATGATCTGATAAACACATACGAGTGCGCGCAGCGCACGAGTTTTGTGTTAATATGTAATCCCGAAGCGCCAGCTGAGGGATTACATTTATTTAGCCCTGAGCGTGAAGTGTTTATGGATTATAATTATCTCCGGCGATTTCGACAAGGGATTTATACTTTGGCAACGTTCCCAGGAACACGATTGGAAAGCAGTTCATCAATCTGAATGTCAAACCGATCTGTCATAGTGGAGCAATAGCTTGAACGTTAGCAGGAACAAGAGCTGGAAGGAGAGCAAGCAAAACAATACTATTTTTAGGGCACGGACAAGGGTAGCTGGCTAGTCGCCAACTTCTCACGCCACGCGTTGGAGAAATTCCAAGAATTAGCTGCTTTGGCAACGTTCCCAGGAATTTGCGTGTAAAAGAAGTGGACGGTTACGATGTTTCATATCACGTGGTGCGCTTTCGTGTCACGTGGTATAGACTCGGCGTATGCTATTGGTGGCACGTGGTACGCACGTGACGCGCCCACGTGATCGCGCGTCTAACTGTTCTACTATTATCGAGTTCTAATCAGCAGTATCATTGATTATTGTAAGTCGGAGAATTGAATGATAAACATCAGTTATGACTAAAAAGCGGGCCGGGTTTATACAAATTTCCGGGGCGGGATGATATCACCTTGAGATGTTTATCTAACAGCGGGCCGGGCTGAGTGATAATATGATCCCGCGTCGAAATCCCGGAGATATTTATACTTAAATTAGAGATTAAAAGGCTCCATTATAAGATTATAATATACTAGATAGTGGTACGGAGTAAGGGACGGTACAGAGAGGTAGTTATTTAACATGGTGTAGTGTACACGGAAGTTAGCCGTAGTTTGTTAATACACAGGTCGTTGCCATGGAAACTCTTGGAGAGGTTACTTTGGTTACGTACGAGGCAGCGTGGTTAAGCTGAGTTCTTAGATGTTACTTGAGTTAGCTCAGGGAGATAAACCACATTCCAGAGTTTGAACACACAGTTGAGAAATTAATTCGTCCATAGTGATCTAATATTAATTAATGATGATGCGTAGTGATTCTCAGATTCTTAAGACTTTAGGCTATCTTTCGTGCTACAACTATCAATTTTATGAGCAATTAAATGTTCTAAACATTTTTGGAAGGCCCTACTCCAATCTTACAAAACCGAGTTTTCAAGGCAGCTTTTATAATATTGCATGACTTTATTAGTAATTATGAATAATATGACAACTTAATATGCGATACTACTATAATGTTTAAAACTAAAGAAAAATGTTTTAGAAAAATGTGACACGGGCTGAGAATCTCATTGTGCTAGTTTGCTATTATGTCTACACACAGTATTATCACACATTTTCTGTTTCTGGATGGCAGGCAAATCACTGCATTACTGTAATAAATTGATGGATGATTATATAATATATATATAAACACTTAACACTAAAAACTAGTAGGATCATTTTTTAAACTTGTAACGAGAGTGGGGACAAGGCACAAACACATCATTAATTCAACAAATTGATTAACAAATTCTAGCCTGTTCTACCTTACACACAAAAATTCAGCAGAGAGAATTAAAGAATTATGCCCTACAGCTAAAGGTTTAATTCACTTTTCTCACACCACATGATAATAACTTTATACATTAAATGTACTCACTGCATGGTCATTTATCTTCCGACCGACGACTCTGTAAGTATTGTTGACAGTATGATGATAGACTTGAACCTTTGCCATTCCAGGACTGTTTCCGCTCGGAAGCCACTTTTTCTGCTGTTCGTCATACACCATCACGTTCGCGCGAGCATTTACTATGCTCACCTCGCTGAAACAATTTACTGTCTTCATTTTCTAATTTTAAATGATTTTTAAGTAGGGAATAATTTAAAAGAAAGTAAAGCAAAGGAAAACTGCACAGTGAGTAGTGTAAAGGAGAAAGTAAGAAAAGTTAAGAAATACATTCTCTGTGATGTAACTTACGACATTTCGTGTGTTTTACTAATTGGATGAGTTTCTCTGTTCCGCAAAACGTTATAAAAGGCGAGCTTGTAGAGCTACTTTAAGGTGTATGATTAGTATTTATTTTAAAAGTTTTTAAGATATGGGTATCAGCAATGGGCCTGGGGTAACAGGAACTTTCCTAAATTTAGGGTAAAGAATCTCTTCTTCTGAAAGAAACTTACTCACCATTACCCACATTTATTGCAGAGGATTATTACTATGATTCAACATTATATCTAATTCTAAAGAAAGGGTAATTGGTTATATTTGTGCTTGTCCTGTTTGGATTTTTCCTCAAGGATAGTAAAAGGACAAATGATTAGTGGCAGCTGTTCTGCTTTTTCAACAGAAAAACCAAAAGGACAGAAGTTATCAAAATTGTCTCAACTGAACAGTTAATCAGGTAAGTTGAGTTGATAGGTGTCACTATTTTGAATTGTTCCACAAATTGCATTGACTTAATCAATCCATTGCAATTCACCTTTGCAATTGGATATTTTATTCTGTTAATGAGAGACAGGATTACTAAGATTTAACTCGCTAGGAAAGTGATTGACCACCATGGTATTGGTAACGTACCAAATTTAATGGTCATCAAATAAAGCTTCAGTTGAATACTAAGATGGATAATATATTAAATGATATGAGCACTGACAAATCTGATAAGCAATGATAAATCTTTGAAGAACCAAGTTTAAGACTGGGTATAAAGTTGTACGAAACTAAATTGGTACAAGATACAAAATATACATCAACAAGTGTAAGAATCAGGTTCAGAAAAGTTTATTTCTAATTTCATGCTATTTAATGGTATAAATCGGTATCATAAATCATAGAGTGAAAACTGAAAGGTGCAGTAAGGTGATTATTTGTGAAAATTTGGCAACAGAAATGGCAAGAAGTGATTACTATCTAATATCCTTTAATAGGGTGGCAATGTCAGTGCACTGACAAATTCAAAACACATGGACAGGAGTAAAAAACAAAAAAAACAACTTGGAAAATGAAACAACTGTGACTTACAATTTAGAACCTAGATCCGAATAAGTCTTATCATAATTTTTACAGCCTTCTGCAAAATGGTACAAACTGTTAGTGTTCATGTTAAGGATCGAAATTTGTTTAGCATCATGTGATGTCACCTTGTTATTCAATTCATGCATTTCTTTCTTTCTTTGTTGTTTCTTGAGTAAGATTGTTATGCTAAATTAAATAATGATACTGACCCTCATCTCGTACATTTCTTTCTTTCTTTGTTTTTTCTTGAATAAGATTGTAATGTTAAATTAATTAAACAACGAGACTGACCCTGCTTTTCTGCTAAAGGATCTCGACTAAAAATTTCATCAAGACAATCAACCTGTGATGCAACATGCCAGTATGAGAATGGGAGTGTACTTCTGGTGCCTACACCAGAACTTAAGGGAGGACTTAAGGAGATTTATATTTGCCAAAGTTCAGGAACGCGTAATGTTTGATAATCCCTTTCAAAACGGAGTCCTTCCATGATTGTAGATAAAACATAAATTTAAACTAAAATGCAACGGAGATCCAAAGAGGAAAAATACTTTATGATTAACAATGGTTTTACATTTAAAAAACTTTTATAAACGCTTCCCAACATTCTGGCCCAGCAATATCTTCTAAATGATCCCTAGAACACAATGATCTTCTTTGTATCAGTGACATGAAAAGCAAGGTTATCCTCCTCCTTTTGGACCTCAGTGCTGCTTTTGATACTGTAAATCATCACTTGCTCCTAAAAAAACTAAAAAAGGACTTTGGTTTTGAAGGTACTGTTCTCGAATGGTTTACATCATACCTTAATAACAGATCCTTCGCAGTAACTATTGATAAATCAAGATCAAAGAGATGCTTCCTTAGAATTGGAGTCCCGCAAGGTTCAATTCTAGGTCCAATTCTGTTTATACTTTACACAAAGGAGCTCAATCAGATCGCAAAGAGACATGGATTTAACATCCATATGTACGCAGATGACACTCAACTGTACATTGAGTTTAACCCACTATTTCGAGATCTGTCAACAATCGAAGAGAGAATAACAAATTGTTTTGAAGATATTAAAACCTGGATGACCCAAAATAAACTCAAACTGAACCAAAACAAAACAGAAGCTCTTGTAGTACAGACCAAGAACAGTTACTCTTCATGTCCAGTCGATTCAATACAACTTGACAATGCAGCTGACCCTGTGGAGGCATCCCGCACAGTGAAAAGTTTAGGTGTCCTATTTGATCAATTCCTAACATTTGAAGATCAAATAAATTCAATTATCAGTTGCTGCAACATCCATCTGAGGAACCTTCGAGTTATAGGCTCAAAGCTTAACTATGATCTAAAAAGACAGCTCATTCACTGCTTGATCTTTTCAAAACTAGACTACTGCAATGGACTCTTATACGGTTTACCCGATCTTCTCATAAAGAAACTCCAGAAGGTACAAAATTCCTGTGTTCGATTCTTGTTTGGTTGGAAAGCTATCAAAAAATGGGACAGTGTCACTCCATTCCTGAAAAAAGCCCATTTTCTTCCAATACGACAACGAATAGAGTATAAGATTGCTCTAACCGTGTTCAAATGCGTCAACAACATAGCGCCGGAGTATATCACCAAATGTATTGACATCAAGAGTCAACCTGTACGTGTACTAAGAACTGAAGAAGACTATTTCCTCCTAAATGTTTCTCCTATTTCAAACTATAGTAAAACCGAGAGAAGTTTCAGCTACTGCGGACCCTCTGTTTGGAATCAGCTTCCTTATCAATTGAGAACACTAACTGATATCGTCTTATTTAAAAAGAAACTAAAAACTCATCTCTTTGAAAACGTATTTGTATAAGTATCATGTATTACCTCTCTCATAAAATCCATACTTCATAAAAATAAGTTCTTGTGTACATGTTACTCATGAGTCGCTTTAGATGGTTTGAACTGAATCTTTGGGTTTTGAGTTCTTTATGGCTATAAAGCGATGTATAAATTCCTACTTATTATTATTATTATTATCCTGAAAAGTTCAGGTTGATTGCTCAGAAACATTTAAGGAGAAGATAGATTTTTAGACTCGATTTTCATGGCACGTGATTGAAAATCGCTTGCACGTTACAATTTCACCGGAAAATAACTTCGACTGGGAATAATATTTTTCCATGGGACCAAAAGCAGCAGATAGATATAACTTCCCTCTATCAGAAACAACTGTAAAGTCAATTTCGAGAGAATTCTTATGAAGGAACTAGAAATGTGGCGACAGTAAGGTAGCTTATGGCGACACTAAGGTAGCTTTTGAGGTTCAATCCTACTACTAAATGTTCAGTTATACATTTAGAGTTTTATAACAACCCAAGATCAAGTTATTGTATTAAGTTGATGTGAGCAAAGGCGAACAAAAGTTTAACTCAAAAGGCAAAGAAAAAAATTACAACTTCTATTATTATAAATAAAAAAAGTATAAATTATTCAAACAATATACACATAATATAGCAATGACCCTATATAAAATCAACCCTTTAAGAATTCAAAAAATTCCCTTAACTATCAAACAAATTTTTTACCCTTGGCCTTGTGGCTCCAAGTTAAGATCTAGACTGTTTATATCAACAATGTTTTTTCTCGCACCTCTGTCTCCACGGAGAGAAATCACTGTTGTTCTGAGGATTTCAAAGCGAAGGCGCTTTCTTATGTATCCTACAGCGTCTGAGTACCTCTGGCCAGTGTGGTACTCCATCTTACTGGCCAGCTTCTTGACCAGTCTCTCAGCTTCACCACCCATTCCACCAGAAGTGGAGAACACTAAAGGTGTGAAGCTTCCTTTCTCCACTTCAAGAACCCTTGCATTGTAACATCGCTTTTTCTCATTTTCATGGGACAGGTACATTGCTGGGATCGGTTTGCTTGCATTGGAGGGGGCTGGGGCATGAAATACCCTTACATCAAAAAATGCCCTCTCTGAAGCATTCCAAATCGATCTTGCAGAAATGTCCAGCCTGGCTTGGTCTCCTAGGACTGTTCCCTTTGGTAACTCTAGACCATCAACTGGAAGAAGAACTGGCTCAGTCTGCACATCCTTGCATTTCACAGTTCTCATTAGTTCTGCAAAGGTGTCTCTCAGCGAGTTGTGCCGCAGTGACACATATCCACCAAGTTTGCAGATGAGCGCATGGTTTGCTGAGTATTTCTGGCCACACCTACATGTTTTGAGAAAAGACAATTTTTTGAGAAAAGACAATTTTATTATTTATCACCAATTCAATACATAATCAATAAATATATATCCGAATAAATTTGATTAAAAATTAAATGATACAAGTATGCTAGCAGCTAGCGCGCTTATATTTGATAAATATTCACGCTGTTAAAATGGGTTTTACCACACCGCCACTCACATTAGCACAGTTGGTGAACGGACCCAGGCGCTGTTAAGCTTTTATGAGCCCTGGTTGACTGCTGAGAGTGGCGAAGGGGCTGATATTAATTTTATCTTAGTTTAACCTAGATTCCAATAAAATTTTAGTTTTGTGTTATAATTATATGATTTTTATGCGATATTTAAGTTACAGCTGCTCGCAATACATTATTGCTTAAAAATTGTTAAATATGCTCGCTATACGCTTAATTTTAGATACCGTATGTATATATACATATCAGCTCATAATACCAAATAACAAAAATAAATAAATTAAAAGCATTGAAGAGGTCCAAAACCAATTCAAGCATGACACAAAGTTGAATACATTTTCATCGAAAGCTGCAAGCTTATTAATGTTTGATTCCGTACGTTCATGATCCGTTATTATGCATTCACCTTCAGGCGGTGTCGACGGATCATGCGAAAAGGGTTTTTGACAGGCTGTGCCCTTACCATAATTAAACTGAACCATTGCCTGATACGATGTAAACAAGAGTGTTGGATAGGTGAGCCGCGCAAGCGCTCGCGCATTTGTGTCGCTCTGACAAATAGCACTTGAGTAATTTAGCTACCAGGACGTAAATCGCGCGTTACGTAAAGTATTATTTTTCCCTTCGGATAAAGTGAACGT